CACAAGTTATTTGTAAATTTTTTGCTTCATCATCAGATTTAACAAATTTTTTAATTGCTTGATAAACCATATTTAAAATTGTATTTACTCCTTTTCCTATACCTTTTGAAAATTCATCTTTAGTAATTAAAAAATTAATTTGTTGATTTTTTTGTCTAGTTTTACAAATTTCAAATAAATATACTACGTAAGCACTTTTAAAATAAATAGATCCTATTTGTTGTGGTGAGTATGGAATTGAAACATTTTGAGCTTAATTATATCATATATGCATTGTTAAATTATCATTTTTGTTTTTAATATTATCATTATAATGTTATCTTTCAAGATTAGCAGCTACACAATGTTCTTCATATTGTTTTTTACTTTTTTCAAAACTTTCATATTTATTTTTTGAAATTTGTATTTGTTTTTTAAAATTTCACAAACTTCATAAAGATCTGATTCTAGTAATTGAAATTTAAGGTTTAGCATTATTTCATGCCAAAGTCTTCTAAATGTATCATAAGATATTATTTTTTCATTTTCATTATACTTAATATAAAATCATTTTTATATTGATTATAAATTAAAATATAATTTTTACTAGTTAGTAAGTATATAAAATTTTCAGAATAATTGCAATATCTCATAGGAGATAGTAAACCATAAACATTTCCATATTATGTTAAATAATGCTTAATTTGTGAAGTAAGTTTTAAATCAAGAAATACTTTAGAATTTCTCCTTTTTGCATGTCCAACATTTTCATGAACACGTTTTATTAATCCATATACTTGAAGATGTAATTGTATAGCTGAAAGTATATGTTCACTTATTTCACATAATTGCATATATGTAGGTTTACATAATGGTAAAGATGTATTAAAATTATATTTGTAAAAATGTCGTTGTAATTCTTTTTTATTATTTTTTTCATTGGTAATTTCAAAAGATATCAATTAAGATTTTAAAAACAAGTCTAATTCAGTTTTTTCTAATGCTTTTAATTCAAAATACATTTCAAAAATACGTTTAAAGCCTACTTTTTCAAAGCAAGTTATTAAATCTTTTTGTTTTAAAGTTTTATGACATGTACAATTATTACTTTGTTTAAAAAATATCATTAATTCATGTATTGTATTTAAAACTAATTCATTTTCTTCATATTCTTCTAAACCTAATTCAATTAAATTATAAATAGGTCTAATTGAATCAGTAGACATTTGAAAATTAGAACCAAAAGATATTGTAAAATCAGAAGAAGACATTTTTATTAAAAAAAAAGTAATAAAAATTATATAGAAATTTGATGTTTTTAAAATAATTGCTTTTAATAATATTAAAAAAATTTGATTTTAAATTGTTATGATTTTAAAAAATTATTTATTGAAAATTCTTTTAATCGAAAAATAATTTCCCATTAAAAAAATTATTAAAAATAAATATTGTTATTTTAAAATAATTTATTTTATTAAAAAAAATTTATTAAAAAGAATTTATTCTTTAAAATTATTAAAAATAATTATTTTTTTAAATTATTAAAAAAAATTTATTCTTTTAAATTTATTAAAAAGATTTTTTAAAAATATTATTTTCTATTTATATTCTTAAAAACTATTAAAAAAAAAGATTAAAATAAACTTTTTAATAATTAATTTTCTTTTAAAAATCAATAAAAAAAAGATTTTTATTAAATATTTTTTAATAATTTTTATATTAAAAATATTGTATTTAAATTCAAAAAAAGAAAATTTATTTTTATATTAAAATTAATGTAACAATACTTCGTAAGGTTATTTTAATAGTAAAATTTCAAGTAGTATGAAATTGATTTTCAATAAAATTAGTGTAACAATATCCTTCTGTAAGGTGATTTTAATAGCAAAATCTCAAGTGTTATGAAATTGATTACAAGTTTTACAAAAATTAGTCTTGTAAAATAATTTTAAATAATAAAATTTATATATTTTATAATAGCAAAATTTTAAATATTATAAAATAATAATTTAATAGTAAAAATTTTAAATAATAAATTTTAATATTGTCTTAATAATTAATTTGACTTAATATTTAAAAATAGAACAATTTATTATTGGTTACTGTAAAGTATCATTTTTTAATCATTATTTACTCAAAATCAATTTCTTATCTCATAAGGTAATTTTAATAGCTTAGCCCCTAAATAGCTTTTTATTTTTATATCAGACTTTTTTTCGTAAATATTTTTTAATTATGATTAAGCACCATAGTAAAACAATTTTTATAACAAGATTTAAAATCTTTGGTAATTAAAATTCATTACTTTTACCTATGTAGAGTCTATTTACAAAACTTGTGATTATTTTTATGTGTAAATCTATTTTTGTAAGTCTAATCGAACTTATCATTTTCTATCATTTAAGCAAGAATTTGATTTATAAAGAAAAAATGGACATTTTTTAAACTAGTCCAGTTAAAATAGTCAATATTAGCTTCAGCCAAAATTAAGATATTTACCAGAATTAAGATGTTTGGATTATCAAAATTTTTTGTACGTTAAAAGTGAAAATCTATAAAATTATTAAAAAAAAAAGTTGAAAATTTGTTGTATGCTTTTATTTGATATAAAGTCTGAATTTTTAATCAGGTTTTAAAACAATTTTTTTTTGTGCATATTTTGTAATATAATAACGTAAAAAGATAAAATGTAATGATTAATACTTTTTATGATTTAATAAATATATAAAAATTCTAATTCATCTTTAAAAAATTTCTTAATTACTTTGAACATGACTTTCATTCTACATTTTGATCTTTTAAAAGATCTTTCATTGCTTTTAAATGATTCTATAATTATATTTTTTACTATAATTTAAAGTCAATTAAATTTTTTATTTAATAAAATATCTCAATGCAATAAATGATTAGTTATTTTATTAATTATTAGCATTAGTATTTAATTATATATTTACTATAATTTATATTCAGATTATAAGTTATTTTTATTAATTATAATATTTAAATATACTATTGTATTTAAATTTAATTATCGCCATTTTCTAAATGGTGTGATCAGGTAATTTGTTAATCAATTAAAAAAATCGTAAATACTGAAAATATTTGAAAACAACAAAAAAAATTAAAAATACTAAAATCCTTCTAAAAAATAAATAATTTTCTAGTAATTTAAAACATCAAATATTCCTAAATATATTTACAACAAAAACATATTGGATCCATGAAAAAATTAACAATTATTACATTTTTCTAAAAAATCAAAAATTTCATGTTAGAATAAATTATTATAAAAATGATAAAGACTCATCCAAAAAACCATTTCTCTTTACTTAAAATATATTTTATAAAAAAAAAGATAAGTATAAGCTAAAACGAAGTTTTTAGAAGAAAACTTACTTAGGAATTGCAACAGGAATTTCGCCAATAATTGTAGTAATAACTAGGGAATTATTTTGAAATTGCTAGGAAGCTAAGAATCCGTTTATAAGCTAAAAGAAACTTCTACATATTAAATACATATCATAGTATTTTAAGTCAACATCATAAAATCACACGATAATATCGTTATTGTGCTTTGCAACGATTAATAATCGCAAGTATAAGATTACAATTAGTTTTAAAAAATATATATATATATGGGAGGACTTTAGTAAAAAAATATAAGCTAAATTTGTGTACATGAATCAATATTTATATAATTATTTCTTGGTATAATATGAACTAACATTTCTATTGAATCTAAATAAACACAAGTATATTGATCTGTTAATTGTACATATAGTTCATCTATTTTATCGATATAAAAGTGGAATTTTTAAGGAATCGCATGATTAAACGATTTTCCAAAAATCGGTTCCTCTTCGGATTGGATCCAATAAAAACATTTTCTTTTTATCTCATTTCATTTTTTTTTTTTAGGTAATTTTTTTCGGGTCAGTGTGCATAGGTAAAATTTTTTAAAATTATTCTCTTTTTTAGGGTCGCCGATGCGATCGCATCAATTATATCTTTTTTTTTTTTTTTTTTTTGCATTTTCGGTTTGATCGCTTCAGGCCGTAGCCATCTAATCTTTTAATAACTCATTAGCAAGCAATGCTCTATTGATTTACTCTCGATTTATTTTATTCTTTATTTTAAAAATTTACATATATAATGTTGGGCTAACTAAAAAAAATAAAATTGATGAAGATAATAATAAGATTACGAAAGTGAAATCACAAAATTTTTAAGCAGGTAGAAATTAGGAGATGCATCTTTTAAAACCTTCGTTAAATTTTTCCTTTAGATCTCTTGTCTGCATTTGATTTCTTAGCTATATTTGGATGATTATTTCGAAGAGTGGTTCGAGATTTGTATTTAACCATCCTATTATTAATTCATAAATACCTAATAAAATCATTAAAACAAACGCTAAATTTAAAGTAACCCAATATCCCATTCCAAATTCTAATTTCTCTCCAATTACTCCTTTATCCAAATTTTGTACTGGCATCTCTATACCTACATCTGCTAACAAAACTCGTCTTGCTATAACTCCAGAGGCCGTAATTCCACGAAGCAATTGAACAAATTGATCTCGTACCTGATCCACGTTTTTATCGTTTTGAGTCAAACACCCTCCAACTGAATTATCTGATGAACATTGAGGTATCAAAATATGACCACCATATAATGCAAGCGCTGTGTGCATAAAATCACCATAAACTGGCTTTGGACTTGAATACTCCACTCTATTTATATTAGTAATTCCCCTTGTATTACAAGTGTCACATCCAGCTGTGATATAATCTACATATTCCACATGCGTGTTCATCAAGCAAACAACATTTAAACCTTTAGTCGGATGACATAACTGGAGTTTTCCAACTATATCAATACTCCCTTCGCATGATGAGTTAGCTACTGATATTTGTACTAAATTGACAGTAATTCGCGTTGTTTCCAAAATGTTATCCTGTTCAAGATTAATAACTTCTGCCATCCACCGACCTTCTAACCCAGAATCCGCTTGTATGGCTTGTATTAATGGAGTTGGCGTTGATATGCTTAAGTTGTAAAAATTTGACGAATCTGGAAAGTGGGTGTTTTGGTTACATAGAGTAGTTACACTAAAGGCTGGAATACTTTCTTTCTTAGATTCTACCAACTTATAATTTACACCTGTGTCGTTATCTGTTGTTGCTACCATCACTACTCTCGCACCATCAACTACATCCCCCCAATTTACTGATAATTGCTTGGAAATTCCATTGACCATTACATCAGCAGCTCCCTGTAACCATTGAAACCTAAATCTTGATTGGAATAGCTGTGGACATCCTGTCTCAACCTTACATGGTATTAATGGATCAGCTCTAAACTCTCCACCTTTGATAGATTTTGAACCTGGAATTATAGTTGTGTTTATTGCAAATCCAGTACCTAACTCGAGTATACCAATGCATACACATACTAAAGCAATGTATCTGGATCTAAGCGTAATCCTTGATATTCTAATAGCTATCGACATCATAAGATGTATCATTAAATAAGTTAAAATCATTGGGGTAGCAATTAACCATTTACTTCCAATATGAAACTTTAACTCAAGTTTTTCAACTCCAATTACTAAAATTAATATATTCAAACATAATAAAACAAACAATTCAGGAATTAACATATGTTTATGTGCCAGAATTATTATAAGAGATTGATAAGCGGTGTCGAAATTCATTCTTTCTGGTGGTAGAGATAATAAATTCTAGCTTTTTGAGGAATATCCGTAATTTATTAAAATTTATTATTAGTCGAAATTATCCTTTGATTTAAGAAGAGTCAAAATTGTCCAATTTTTTCCAACTATATTTATATTCATTTTCTATTCCGAATAATACTATATTTGCATTATAAAATGATCGGAACCTAAGGGGTTATCTGTTTATTAATTGACGATCCAGGTGTTCCATGATTGGGAATCATCGCAGTTCCTGATTTTTGTACTAAAAAATAAATTACCAAATTAATGTCGATAATGATCAAATTTAAACTTTTTTAACAAATATGGGAGGTTTGCTATTAAAATCGAGTTACAAATATTGAAAATCATATGATCCGTAACGTGATTTTAATAGCTTACCTCTCATATATTTACAGTACAGTTCATTCATAAATGTTACCCAAAACCCTTATAAGTTATTGTGACTTGCGCCATTAAATACAGTCCCGGGGTCCCGAGGTCTATTGTTTATTAATAAAAAATTTTATATGTAATCGTAATGATGTATGTGATTGGTTGGCTTTTAAGGAGTAATTAATTGAACTTTTTCCGTATTGAAAAAGAGAAGAAACAAAGAAAAGAAATATAGGAAATCAAGTAAACCAAGAAATGACAAAAACCAATTTCAATATATTGTTAATATTCTTATTATTACATTGGATATAATTCCACTCGAAAAATCATAGTTTTCGCTTCATAAATTGCCTTCGATAATTTGCTTAGCCTTTGAAGATCAATTTCGACCATATTATATGCCAAGTTGTTCTATTTAAAATTTAAAATATATGTATGCTGGGTTTCTCTTGGAATTTAGCAAGTTCTTTAACTCCTTTGATAATCGTCCAACGGACATGGACCAAATCGACATCCAAAAAATTTATTCTTTATCATAAATAGATGTAGATTTAACTAGGGAACATTTTTTACTTAATAAAGGAGCATAATAAAATTTTGCGCACAGCCTTGTATCCACAATAACTGTTTTAGCTATATTTAGATGTTTTGTATTAAGGAGATGTCGCACCAATTTTTTAACACCCACCATATACAGTTTATGCTATATAGATGTTAGTGTCAGGTGATTCCACTTTATATAGTGGAAGCTATGGCCGTTTCCAAAAAGGAAGGATCAAGAAACTATGGGGCCGTTTTTATTATATTGATCTATTGATATTGATATCAATATCAATATTAATTTTGATAGAAAAAACGGTTGTTTATATATGATTTTTTTTAAAAAAAAAAATGGGACAGAAGAATCACATGAATAACTAAAGAAAGTTTTTTGTAATTTTTATTATATAATTATGTAAAAAAAAAAAAAAAAATAAAGTAATGATAAAATCAAAGAATTCATCATAAACCTATGCTGCGGTAACGAAATCCTGTTTCATCCGATAATTCCAGCCGAAAGGATGAACCGATCTAGCCTAAAAAAAATATAAAACAAATAAATAAGATAAAATAAAATTAATTAGTAATCAAACTAATTACTATATCAAAATAAAAAAGAAAAAAAAAAAATAAATCAAAAAAAATAAGTCAGCTTACCTTCGCCGCGGTGACGAACCAGACGGTTCCGTTCAAAAGTTCCATCCGTTCTTGGCCTAAGAGAGGAAACTGATCTAACCTAAAATGAAAAAAAAATAAAAAAAAATTATTTATTAAACAAAAATCGTCCGACCGCGATATTAAAAGCTAAAATGAAACCGAAACTAAAAAATAAAAATATAAAAAAAAAAAAATAAATGGAACTAAGCGAACGAAAAAGTTAAAGAAAAAGAAAAGAAAAATGAAAAGATAAAATGAAACGAAAGAAAAATAAAGAAAAAGAAACAAAAAAAAATAAAATAAAATAAAAAAGAATAAAAAGAATAATAGATATAAAAAAAAAAAAAATAAATAAAAATAAAACAGAAAAGATAAAAAAAAATTAAAACGAAATAATATATTAAAAAATATATATATAAAACAGGGAAAGGAAAAATATAAAATAAATAGAAACAAAATTATATATATATATATAAAAAAAAAAAAATATGAATATAAAAATAAAAAGCAGAGGGGGAAATAAAAAAATATATATATATATATATATAAAAAATAAAAAAGAAATATAAAAAAATAAAGTCAAAGATGAAAAAATGAAATTTAAAAAACGAAATTATAAAAAATAAAAAATAAGTAAATATAAAAAACGGAATTAAACAAAAAAAATAAAAAAATAAAGCTTAAATATAATCACGATATAAAAAATTATAAAATTAAATTATTAAATTAAATTTAAAAATTAAATAACCCTAATCTTATTTATTTATTAAAACTTTACATTTATTTTTCATCGCGATCGCGACCCGGACCGTTCCAAGCCTATATTTACACTAACAAATTAAATAAAATAAATGTGTTTCTTTCAAATATTAAGGCCGGCCCCTGGCCGGCCATAACCATTAATCTAGTTATTTATACACATATTACATAGAAAGTTGATTTCACTATTGTTGTATGTTGTACGATGGGAAATATTCGTAATTTAAATTAATATTTTTTTTTAATTTATGTATTTTAATACTGCGGAAATGCTTACATAGTAAATTGTCTTTCACGCTATAAAACTCGATTTATAATGTCGAAATTAACTGTATTTTAAAAATTTTTTATTCTTCATTTGGTCAATATTGCTGGCTTAATTATTTGCTTCATTAAATACTTACTTACATTATTCCTTCTCGATAGTTCATTTGGTATTATTATTATCGAGCATGATTCAAAAGAGCTACATATACAAACGTACTTACTTTATTTTGAAACATGTTCAATTATAACTAATTGTTTATCTTTGTATATGTTCTCTGATTTTCTAAAAAGAAGGTACGAAAATTTTGGTGGTCCAAAGTACAAGCAAAATCATGTTACACGACATTTGTATTTGAAAATAAAATCTATAGGCGAATATAATGCAGTGTAGGTAAATATAAATGCATATATATAATAAATTTATAAAAAAAAAATTTATTTATTTATTTTTAAATTATCTTATTAATTGAATTATGGCTTGCAAAAAAAACAATGAATTACTTAATTTTTGTTACATCTTCTTAATTATTCATTTGCTCACTAAAGTTGAGTCGTTTACTCCTGTAGGACGTAGTGTTCATTCATCAGTCTTTGTTGGAGATAAAATATATTTTATTGGTGGATTTAATGGAAGTCGTATTTATTCAAATGAAGTATTCTATCTTGATGTATCTAAACGATTTGATTTGGGACTTCCGCCATGGACCGACCTTACATTAAATTCAGGATTAAGTTTTGGAAGCGGTTGGGCGACTACAGTTGCATTGAATGATAATAATAATAACCCGACCATATACCTTATTGGTGGTGATATTCTTGATAAAACTGTTACCTCACTAGTACATACATTTAATCCGAATTCCGGACAATGGAATGCACCCATAATTACAGGAACTGAGCCAATGAGACGAGGAAGTTTTCAAGCTGTCGCTGATGATACTGAAAAAATTTATGTTTTTGGTGGATTTTCTTTAGAAAATAATCAAACTTTTAATGATATGATAATATTAAGTACTAATGATTTAACGTGGTCATATGGTCCTATTGCTAATGCTCCTTTAGGACGAGATGCATATACGGCAACATTTTTATCAAATGGTGTGATTGTATATATCGGAGGTTATGAATATAATTATGCTACTTCTATTGGGCGTGAAGTTGATATTAACCAAATCAATCTTTATGATACAAAAAATGACAAGTGGTCAGTTATGGTAAGTACTGTATATATAGGTAACTATGCTATTTCTTTTGCTAAATAATCAATTATAATTTATTTAAGCAAACAAGAAGTATTGGACAAATTGAATCTCGTTTCGGTCATTCGACCGTCTTAGGTATGGCTCACTATCATTTTGTTATTATGATTTAATAATAACATCATACTATTAATTCTATAGTTCAAGACGGAAGAATAATTATAAATGGTGGGTCAAAAGGTGTTGATAGTAAATCTATTAAAGCTACACCAGACCTGGCTGTTTTGAATACTCAAACGACACCATTTGTATGGACCGTACCCCAAGTATCAACAAATATTGGTGAATTTCCATCACTTTTTTATCATACAGCAAATTTAGTTGGAGATTACTGTACATGATTGTGGCTTTTGGTAATTATTTCTTATACGTAATATTTCATATTTCTATCTACCTTATAAGAAAATAAATTTTTGAATTATATAGGTCGTCATACTCATCCAAATGGTTTAGCAGAAACTTCTCGGTCAAACAAAATTTACCTGTTAGATACTACGAACTTTACTTGGGTCGATAAATTTGAACCGAAAAGTATAACTGTGCCTACACCTTCAAATACAAGTTTACCGAATACTTCTTCGACAACTGCTTCGACTTCTCCTAAAACTACTGATGGTCAAATAAATACGATAGTTGCTGCAATAAGTGGAATTTTAGGTACCGCATTTGTTATGTTAATTGGATTCCTTGGCTATAAATGGTATCAAAAGAGAAAACAAAATGAAATTATGAGGATCGCCGGCGAGAAATAAAAATTGTTAATTAATATTAGCATAAAATATGATACAAACAATTGATGATGTATTAAGTTAAAGTTATCTTATTTCGAAATTTTTAAAGATTAAGTAAAACTAAATAAATTTTTAAGTTTTTATTTATTTTCTAGCAGTTTCTTTTTTATCGAAAAGGTCTATATGTTTATATAAATTGAAAGATTAAATCAAAAAACAGATAAATTATATTTATTAAAAAAATTACTAGTGGCGGCAAATTGTTTAAATATAATTCGGAATACGATACGATCAGAAACTTTCTTTTATAATCGGGTATATTCTATACATCGATATTCGAATTTAAATAAGGACTTAAATAACAGAGAGGAGGAATTTCCTTTTGATTTTG